TCCTCCCTGCCCCCCCTCCACCCACAGTAACTCCTCCCTGGCCCACCTCCACCCACAGTAACTCCTCCCTGCCCCCCTCCACCCACAGTAACTCCTCCCTGACCCCCTTCCACCTACAGTAACTCCTCCCTGCCCCCCCTCCACCCACAGTAACTCCTCCCTGCGCCCCCTCCACCCACAGTAACTCCTCCCTGCGCCCCCTCCACCCACAGTAACTCCTCCCTGCTCCTCCTCCACCCACAGTAACTCCTCCCTGCCCCCCCTCCACCCACAGTAACTCCTCCCTGCCCCCCTCCACCCACAGTAACTCCTCCCTGCCCCCCTCCACCCACAGTAACTCCTCCCTGCCCCCCCTCCACCCACAGTAACTCCTCCCTGCCCCCCCTCCACCCACAGTAACTCCTCCCTGCCCCCCTTCCACCCACAGTAACTCCTCCCTGCCCCCCTTCCACCTACAGTAACTCCTCCCTGCCCCCCTCCACCCACAGTAACTCCTCCCTGCCCCCCTCCACCCACCGTAACTCCTCCCTGCCCCCCTCCACCCACAGTAACTCCTCCCTGTCCCCCTCCACCCACAGTAACTCCTCCCTGGCCCACCTCCACCCACAGTAACTCCTCCCTGCCCCCCTCCACCCACAGTAACTCCTCCCTGCCCCCCTCCACCCACAGTAACTCCTCCCTGGCCCACCTCCACCCACAGTAACTCCTCCATGCCCCCCTCCACCCACAGTAACTCCTCCCTGCCCCCCTCCATCACCCACAGTAACTCCTCCCTGCCCCCCTCCACCCACAGTAACTCCTCCCTGCCCCCCTCCACCCACAGTAACTCCTCCCTGCCCCCCTCCACCCACAGTAACTCCTCCCTGCCCCCCCCCTCCACCCACAGTAACTCCTCCCTGCCCCCCTCCACCCACAGTAACTCCTCCCTGCCCCCCCTCCACCCACAGTAACTCCTCCCTGCCCCCCCCCCACAGTCCACCCACAGTAACTCCTCCCTGCCCCCCTCCACCCACAGTAACTCCTCCCTGCCCCCCTTCCACCCACAGTAACTCCTCCCTGCCCCCCTCCACCCACAGTAACTCCTCCCTGCCCCCCTCCACCCACAGTAACTCCTCCCTGCCCCCTTCCACCCACAGTAACTCCTCCCTGCCCCCCCCACCTCCACCCACAGTAACTCCTCCCTGCCCCCCAGTAACTCCTCCCTGCCCCCTTCCACCCACAGTAACTCCTCCCTGCCCCCCCTCCACCCACAGTAACTCCTCCCTGCCCCCCTCCACCCACAGTAACTCCTCCCTGCCCCCCCTCCACCCACAGTAACTCCTCCCTGCCCCCCCCCCTCCACCCACAGTAACTCCTCCCTGCCCCCCCTCCACCCACAGTAACTCCTCCCTGCCCCCCTCCACCCACAGTAACTCCTCCCTGCCCCCCCTCCACCCACAGTAACTCCTCCCTGCCCCCCCCTCCACCCCACAGTAACTCCTCCCTCCCCCCTCCACCCACAGTAACTCCTCCCTGCCCCCCTCCACCAACAGTAACTCCTCCCTGCCCCCCCTCCACCCACAGTAACTCCTCCCTGCGCCCCCTCCACCCACAGTAACTCCTCCCTGCCCCCCCTCCACCCACAGTAACTCCTCCCTGCCCCCCCTCCACCCACAGTAACTCCTCCCTGCCCCCCACCCCACCCACAGTAACTCCTCCCTGCCCCCCTCCACCCACAGTAACTCCTCCCTGCCCCCCCTCCACCCACAGTAACTCCTCCCTGCCCCCCCTCCACCCACAGTAACTCCTCCCTGCCCCCCTTCCACCCACAGTAACTCCTCCCTGCCCCCCTTCCACCCACAGTAACTCCTCCCCCCCCCTCCACCCACAGTAACTCCTCCCTGCCCCCCCACCCACAGTCCACCCACAGTAACTCCTCCCTGCCCCCCTCCACCCACAGTAACTCCTCCCTGCCCCCCTCCACCCACAGTAACTCCTCCCTGCCCCCCCTCCACCCACAGTAACTCCTCCCTGCCCCCCCTCCACCCACAGTAACTCCTCCCTGCCCCCCTCCACCCACAGTAACTCCTCCCTGCCCCCCTCCACCCACAGTAACTCCTCCCTGGCCCCCTCCACCCACAGTAACTCCTCCCTGCCCCCCTCCACCCACAGTAACTCCTCCCTGCCCCCCTCCATCCCACAGTAACTCCTCCCTGCCCCCCTCCACCCACAGTAACTCCTCCCTGCCCCCCCTCCACCCACAGTAACTCCTCCCTGCCCCCCCACCCACAGTAACTCCTCCCTGCCCCCCCTCCACCCACAGTAACTCCTCCCTGCCCCCCTCCACCCACAGTAACTCCTCCCTGCCCCCCCTCCACCCACAGTAACTCCTCCCTGCCCCCCTCCACCCACAGTAACTCCTCCCTGCCCCCCTCCACCCACAGTAACTCCTCCCTGCCCCCCTTCCACCCACAGTAACTCCTCCCTGCCCCCCTCCACCCACAGTAACTCCTCCCTGCCCCCCCTCCACCCACAGTAACTCCTCCCTGCCCCCCTCCACCCACAGTAACTCCTCCCTGCCCCCCTCCACCCACAGTAACTCCTCCCTGCCCCCCTCCACCCACAGTAACTCCTCCCTGCCCCCCTCCACCCACAGTAACTCCTCCCTGCCCCCCTCCACCCACAGTAACTCCTCCCTGCCCCCCTCCACCCACAGTAACTCCTCCCTGCCCCCCTCCACCCACAGTAACTCCTCCCTGCCCCCCTCCACCCACAGTAACTCCTCCCTGCCCCCCTCCACCCACAGTAACTCCTCCCTGCCCCCCTCCACCCACAGTAACTCCTCCCTGCCCCCCTCCACCCACAGTAACTCCTCCCTGCCCCCCTCCACCCACAGTAACTCCTCCCTGCCCCCCTCCACCCACAGTAACTCCTCCCTGCCCCCCTCCACCCACAGTAACTCCTCCCTGCCCCCCTCCACCCACAGTAACTCCTCCCTGCCCCCCTCCACCCACAGTAACTCCTCCCTGCCCCCCTCCACCCACAGTAACTCCTCCCTGCCCCCCTCCACCCACAGTAACTCCTCCCTGCCCCCCTCCACCCACAGTAACTCCTCCCTGCCCCCCTCCACCCACAGTAACTCCTCCCTGCCCCCCCCCCTCCACCCACAGTAACTCCTCCCTGCCCCCCTCCACCCACAGTAACTCCTCCCTGCCCCCCTCCACCCACAGTAACTCCTCCCTGCCCCCCTCCACCCACAGTAACTCCTCCCTGCCCCCCTCCACCCACAGTAACTCCTCCCTGCCCCCCTCCACCCACAGTAACTCCTCCCTGCCCCCCTCCACCCACAGTAACTCCTCCCTGCCCCCCTCCACCCACAGTAACTCCTCCCTGCCCCCCTCCACCCACAGTAACTCCTCCCTGCCCCCCTCCACCCACAGTAACTCCTCCCTGCCCCCCTCCACCCACAGTAACTCCTCCCTGCCCCCCTCCACCCACAGTAACTCCTCCCTGGCCCCCTCCACCCACAGTAACTCCTCCCTGCCCCCCTCCACCCACAGTAACTCCTCCCTGCCCCCCTCCACCCACAGTAACTCCTCCCTGCCCCCCTCCACCCACAGTAACTCCTCCCTGCCCCCCTCCACCCACAGTAACTCCTCCCTGCCCCCCTTCCCCCACAGTAACTCCTCCCTGCCCCCCTCCACCCACAGTAACCCTCCCTGCCCCCCTCCACCCACAGTAACTCCTCCCTGCCCCCCTCCACCCACAGTAACTCCTCCCTGGCCCCCCTCCACCCACAGTAACTCCTCCCTGCCCCCCTCCACCTCCACCCACAGTAACTCCTCCCTGCCCCCCTCCACCCACAGTAACTCCTCCCTGCCCCCCTCCACCCACAGTAACCCTCCCTGCCCCCCTCCACCCACAGTAACTCCTCCCTGCCCACCTCCACCCACAGTAACTCCTCCCTGCCCACCTCCACCCACAGTAACTCCTCCCTGCCCACCCACAGTAACTCCTCCCTGCCCCCCTCCACCCACAGTAACTCCTCCCTGCCCCCCTACCCCCCACAGTAACCCCTCCCTACCCCCCACAGTAACTCCTCCCTGCCCACCTCAACCCACAGTAACTCCTCCCTGGCCCACCTCCACCCACAGTAACTCCTCCCTGGCCCCCCTCCACCCACAGTAACTCCTCCCTGCCCACCTCCACCCACAGTAACTCCTCCCTGCCCCCCTCCACCCACAGTAACTCCTCCCTGGCCCACCTCCACCCACAGTAACTCCTCCCTGCCCACCTCCACCCACAGTAACTCCTCCCTGCCCCCCTCCACCCACAGTAACCCTCCCTGCCCCCCTACCCCCCACAGTAACCCCTCCCTACCCCCCACAGTAACTCCTCCCTGCCCACCTCCACCCACAGTAACTCCTCCCTGGCCCACCTCCACCCACAGTAACTCCTCTCTGGCCCCCCTCCACCCACAGTAACTCCTCCCTGCCCCCCTCCACCCACAGTAACCCCTCCCTACCCCCCACAGTAACTCCTCCCTGCCCACCTCCACCCACAGTAACTCCTCCCTGCCCCCCTCCACCCACAGTAACTCCTCCCTGCCCCCCTCCACCCACAGTAAATGCAACAGAAGAATATAATAAGCTACAGGAGACCTAATAACATTCACGAAGCAGCCCCCATATTTATATCCACCACCAACACACTCCCATCTAGTCTACCTTGCGCCTGAAACAATCAAGTAATCCCCGCGTCTATTGTCTTCCCCATTCCCCCCCCCCCCATTATGTTCTTTGACTTGAACACTTGCATCAAATTGGTGTTCTGCAATGTTCTCTCACCTTCCTAAACAACACAAGCTTTGTTAACTACACAACCTATTCCTCGTTAAGTTCCAGCCCGCTGCTCCTCTACGCTCCACTGTTCTCCAGTGTTCTTCACTGTTCTCCAGTGTTCTTCACTGTTCTCCAGTGTTCTCCACTGTTCTAACTCACTCAGAGCCCCAGGAAACTCTACTATTCCCAGAACATTAACCCAAAATACCTACGAATTTCCCGCTCAGACCCACTTAAGACAGTTTTAACAGCTTTCTGCTCTCCTCCTAAACCAGTCTTGGGAGGCAACTGCTTTTCTTCCAGCGGCAGTTTGAATAGCATTTTGTTTCTGCACGAGATTGGGGTTAATATAGGTGTAGAGCAGGGCGGCGAGGCCTCTGGTGTAGAGCAAGGCGGCGAGGCCTCTGGTGTAGAGCAAGGCGGCGAGGCCTCTGGTGTAGAGCAAGGCGGCGAGGCCTCTGGTGTAGAGCAAGGCGGCGAGGGCTCTGGTGTAGAGCAGGGCGGCGAGGGCTCTGGTGTAGAGCAGGGCGGCGAGGGCTCTGGTGTAGAGCAGGGCGGCGAGGGCTCTGGTGTAGAGCAGGGCGGCGAGGCCTCTGGTGTAGAGCAGGGCGGCGAGGCCTCTGGTGTAGAGCAGGGCGGCGAGGCCTCTGGTGTAGAGCAGGGCGGCGAGGCCTCTGGTGTAGAGCAGGGCGGCGAGGCCTCTGGTGTAGAGCAGGGCGGCGAGGCCTCTGGTGTAGAGCAAGGCGGCGAGGCCTCTGGTGTAGAGCAAGGCGGCGAGGGCTCTGGTGTAGAGCAGGGCGGCGAGGGCTCTGGTGTAGAGCAGGGCGGCGAGGGCTCTGGTGTAGAGCAGGGCGGCGAGGGCTCTGGTGTAGAGCAGGGCGGCGAGGCCTCTGGTGTAGAGCAGGGCGGCGAGGCCTCTGGTGTAGAGCAGGGCGGCGAGGCCTCTGGTGTAGAGCAGGGCGGCGAGGCCTCTGGTGTAGAGCAGGGCGGCGAGGCCTCTGGTGTAGAGCAGGGCGGCGAGGCCTCTGGTGTAGAGCAGGGCGGCGAGGCCTCTGGTGTAGAGCAGGGCGGCGAGGCCTCTGGTGTAGAGCAGGGCGGCGAGGCCTCTGGTGTAGAGCAGGGCGGCGAGGCCTCTGGTGTAGAGCAGGGCGGCGAGGCCTCTGGTGTAGAGCAGGGCGGCGAGGCCTCTAGTGTAGAGCAGGGCGGCGAGGCCTCTAGTGTAGAGCACCACGCCACCACCACCACCAGCCTCACACCACCACCAGCCTCACACCACCACCACCACCACCAACCTCACCACCAACCTCACCACCAACCTCACCACCACCACCACCACCACCACCAACCTCACCACCAACCTCACCACCAACCTCACCACCACCACCAACCTCACCACCAACCTCACCACCAACCTCACCACCACCACCACCACCACCAACCTCACCACCAACCTCACCACCAACCTCACCACCACCACCACCACCAACCTCACCACCACCACCAACCTCACCACCACCACCACCACCAACCTCACCACCACCACCACCACCAACCTCACCACCACCACCACCACCAACCTCACCACCACCACCACCACCAACCTCACCACCACCACCAACCTCACCACCACCAACCTCACCACCAACCTCACCACCACCACCAACCTCACCACCACCACCAACCTCACCACCACCACCAACCTCACCACCACCACCAACCTCACCACCACCACCACCACCAACCTCACCACCACCACCACCACCACCAACCTCACCACCACCACCAACCTCACCACCACCACCAACCTCACCACCACCACCAACCTCACCACCACCACCAACCTCACCACCACCACCAGCACCACCAGCACCACCAGCACCACCACCAGCACCACCACCACCAACACCACCACCACCACCAGCAGCCTCACACCACCAGCAGCCTCACACCACCACCACCACCAGCCTCACACCACCACCACCAGCCTCACACCACCACCACCAGCCTCACACCACCACCACCAGCCTCACACCACCACCACCAGCCTCACACCACCACCACCACCACCACCACCACCACACCACCACCACCAGCCCGGGACTGAAGACATAGAGGCCCCGCCAGACTGAGTTATCACGCCCTTAACCTACCTTTCTCATGCTAATGTCCGCCATTCCCCAAAGCCTTCCCGACTTTGCTTTACCCTTAAACTCTCCTCTATCAAACTCTCCTTCCACCATAAAAGTTAATTCCATCAAAGGGAGCAGGAACTGGAGAGGGGGGGTGGGTGGAGAAGGAAGCACGGCACGCAGAGTGGAACAGGAGAATGGGAGAAGTGGAGGAAGTGTGAGGAACAGCAGAGTACATGATTAATGAGAAAAAAGAGTTAGGCAGCAATAGTGAGTGGGGAATGAGGGATGAGGGAGGCGAGGGTGAGAGAGGGAGGTAGAGAAGGAGGGGAGAAGGGAGGGAATATAGAGCGTGCGGGAGGATGGTTAGCAGTGACGAATGGGTAGGAAGAGCGGAGAGAGAAAGGGTAGGTGGGTTTGTTTTGGTTAGGAAAAGAGGAAAAGGAAGCAGAAGGGAGGAATGAAAGGGGGGGAAAGGGGGGAAGGAAGGGGGGGAGGAGAAGGACAAGGTAGCGGGACAGGAAGACAACATACACACACACCAGGGGCACAAGACGTCCTCAACGCCTCATCATCAACTAGGGTCGCTTACTATATTATTGCCTAGATTATATTCCCCTCACAAAAACATTTTTATTGTTAACCAACTTGGGTAGACGGCACTGTGCTGCTCCCCCAAGCAATACAAGGGTCTTTTTTGACAAAATTAAGGACTTCCTCGTCTCCTGCCACTTCTTTCTCTCTCCTTCGTTCCTGCCCCCTCGCTACCATTCAACCTCCACTACCAGCAGCTCCCCAGACCAACTCCAATAGACCTATATCCCTGGAAACACAAACCGAAACTGTCTCTATTTTCCGCTTGTTACAACTTGTAATAAAGTTGTTACATCTTGGCTTAACGTATTTATGACGTATTAGAACGTTGTTACAACTTGCTATATCGGTTGTTATAACTGGTTAGGAGGTGTTAAAACTTGTTCGAACGTTGTACCAACGTCGTAGTTTCGGTGTGTGTTTGGCGGGTATGCTATCCCCACCCCACTATGTAGCACTAACCACAAAACCCTCAATCTTCAACCCTCATTTCTGTCAACATCCTCTCAACTACCTCATACAGACCGCTGTCTTCTCTCCCTCTACTGCTTCTGTTAATGACTCTTCACACGGCGCCCACAACAACCCCCACATTCCACACATTAAGCCTCACCGTCCTTAGGGAGCCGGTGGCTCAGCGGACAGAACACTGGACGCGTGATCCTGTGGTCCCGAGTTCGATCCCGGGCGCCGGCGAGAAACATTGGGCAGAGTTTCTTTTAACCCTGATGCCCCCTGTTACCTAGCAGTAAATAGGTACCTGGGAGTTAGTCAGCTGTCACGGGCTGCTTCCTGGGGGGGGTGGAGGCCTGGTCGAGGACCGGGCCGCGGGGACACTAAGCCCCGAAATCATTTTAAGATAACCTCAAGATAGGTCACCACACATCGACCCCAACCGTCCCCACAATCCTTCGTGGGTAGCAATCCTCCCCCCCCCCCCCCGCGTCCCCCGGGGGACGAGGTGAGTCATCCATCATTCCAGGGAGGATACGAACCCAAACAACATAATCCTGGCCTTATAAAGTAATATCCGACACGCTACAGCGGCTCACTTACTCAACACACTTTTACTTTGATTTAGCCTCAATAATCGTTTGGTTTCCCCTTCTTAATATTTTATTATTTTCTCGTCTTATTTTCATCTCCTCCTCCACTTCTTTGGATTATCATTTTTAGTCATTATTCTCCTATTTTTTTTTTTTGTTTAGAAAAGTTTAAGTCTTTAAAGGTTTTAAAATCAGAAGGTAAGGTTTGCCTTTGACTCATGGGATACCAAGACAGCACACTCCACAGGTGTTTAACCAACCCGTCCTCTTAAAAATAACGTCACTTTTGGCTCGTAACCGCCGCTCAATGGTCAAATTTGGACGTAATTTGAAATGAAATCGACTCACCAAAGTGACGTACTGTTCCGTTTTCTGTTTGAGTCGTCCGGCCGACTCTGTAAGGTTAGAATAGATGACTTTCAATTCACGTTTTTCACGACGGGTGCAAATGTCACCACGACCAGCGGTGTTGATCATGGTCAGTTATGACGCAAAGAACCAAAATATGACAGCCCGGCCCCGCGCCACCACACACAGGCCTCCATGGATAATAAGGTGGTGTGCTACGCGTACTAACGAGCGATCTATGTCTTGTAGAATGTTCAGAGAAAAGGTGAACAGTCATCGTTCTGCGAGCATCTGCTGTTTGTGTATATTCACCTAGTTGTATTCACCTAGTTGTATTCACCTAGTTGTGTTTGCGGAGGTTGAGTATTGCTCTTTCAGCCCGCCTCTCAACTGTTTACTTACCTTTTTTTTCTCCCCCCCCCCAGGAAGCAGCCCGTGACAGCTGACTAACTCCAAGGTACCTATTTACTGCTAGGTAACAGGGGGCATTCAGGGATTCAGGGTGAAAGAAACTTTGCCCATTTGTTTCTGCCTGGTGCGGGAATTGAACCCGCGATGTGTGTGTGTGTGTGTGTGTGTGTGTGTGTGTGTGTGTGTGTGTGTGTGTGTGTGTGTGTGTGTGTGTGTGTGTGTGTGTGTGTGTGTGTGTGTGTCACCTTATGTTGTCTACAAGTCATTACCGTCGACATTACAACTTCCACCCCTCCTCTTCCTCGATATTTCTCGCCGATTCCTCTGTCCAACCTCTAATCATTTGAGAGCTTAATTCTCGTTAATTGTTTCCTCTCATTCTTCTCTTAACCCACAACTTTATCCTATAATCTCTCTTATTACTCAACTCCTAATGTCTATCTACCCTTTCCTGCAAATATTCTTTCTTCCCAAACACACTCGCTTACTTTATTTCCTTTTTATCTACTAATCTCGTCCACGAAAAATCACAGAATTATAACCTGACCTCCTTAGCACAATCCCAGCTACTCACCACAATACCACAGTCACTACCTTCACTACAATCATCTCGGTACAATCACGACCTTCACCACAATCACTCAAAATTCAACCACAATTGTCACAACCACTACAGATACCACCGGTACCAATACCAACACAACCTCTACCACAACTCTCGGCCCCCACCTTCCCCTTCACCAATCGTCACCAGGACGGAGCGCGTCGCCAAAGAAAGAGTGCCACCCTGAGAAAAAGAGTGCCACCGTGGGTGTTTGATGTATGGCTTACCAATAGTGCCACCCCAAAACCTTTTTTCGGCTATTTCTCCAGTGGCTACAACCACTTCAATATCCTCAAGCTCACGGCCACTTTCACCCGACCCTCGGCACCACCACCACCACCACACACACCACCTACACTTCCACCACTGACAACTACGTCGAGCATATCTATTATAAAGCAGACGTGTAACTCCATCATACAGAATGTCTAATTCACCAATACTTATAATTTACAATATATTTTCCATTCACTTAGATTTTTCGGTACAAAGACGACCTTTACCTGACCGTGTCAAGATCCCCAATTGTCTAAATTAAGTGGAAGGGATCCGTCCCCGTATCCCAGGTCCGCGTCCTTGTATCCCAGGTCCGCGTCCTTGTATTCCAGGTCCTCGTTCTCGCATCCCAGGTCCTCGTTCTCGCATCCCAGGTCCTCGTCCTTGTATCCCAGGTCCTCGTTCTCGCATCCCAGCTGCTCGTCCTCGTATCCCTTCCAAGTGCTTGTATAGTCTTATTGGCTTAGAGCTTTCTCCTCACAGTTTTTAATTATATGGCTGTTAATGTGTCACTTCCAATGATGCAAGTTTGGTGGCGTGGAATAAATCTTATTGAGGAGCCTTATCAAGAGAACATAACAGCTGCTCAGCTGAGGTATGTCGAGTGATGCTGTTCTCTCAAGACACTTTAGTTCTTCCTCTTAGGATTCACAATGACACGGACAATATAAATGGAAGACTGGAGCTACCTACTTGATACCTGGTTGATGGGGTTCTGGGAGTTCTTCTACTCCCCAAGCCCGGCCCGAGGCCAGGCTTGACTTGTGAGAGCTTGGTCCACCAGGCTGTTGCTTGGAGCTTTTACGAGTGATCTTGAAATGTTTCTGTTCGAGTTCCAGGATCAGCCAGGTTGTGATGGCAACGTAAACCTGTGCGTCACAAAATCCCACTATCACCTACAGGAAATCACGCCAGAGAAGCATGTCTCTAGGGCAAGCAGCAAAAGCAGAAACTCTTGAAATCAATTCAGAGGTAAATCATCCTAAAGCCTTGTTCGTCTGAACTGCGTCCATCCCCAAAGGCTCATACGTATATATTTTTCCTACCGTGCAATCAAATACGGAATGTGCCTTTTTGGGGTGGACGTTCGCAGCCGACACGAATATTGCCTAAAAATGAGTTGATACATTTAGTTTTTCTTTTAACGGAGAATAATAACTAAGAATCATTTATCAACTTTTAAAACAAAGTTGAAATATAAATTGCAGGCCAGTTACTGTTGGGTCAGAAATGTATTAATTTCATATTCCACGGAGAATATTTTTTTAATTAACATAGTCACACGTGCATTGCTGCAACTATCCTAGACTATATGCAGTGTTGCACAGTGTGTGTGGAGAGAGCAAGCTATTCACACCAAGTTTACCAAACAAAACAAACCATACCATCAATGGTATTAACAACAAATGTCACATAACTCACATAGATACAAGCCATTAAACTCGCATATTTAATATAAATGACTTTAGAAGAAGTTCACAAGGACTACGCAGTCCTATCTAGCCAGTGGAGAATAAGTTAACTACATTTTGAAGACATTTAGACTTTAATGCTGCATGAAAGTCTATTTCTATTAAAGTATTACTTAAGACTATGATTATGCGGTCTTATTACTTAAAAGTTCCAAAACCTAGAATTACTTAATTATCCTCTCAATTCACAATTTTTTTTTAAATTGAATCCTTGTTTAAAACCATCTATTTTATGTAAATTGTTAGCCTTTAGGCGTCTTCTACTGGCCCTACTCTCTCTCTCTCTCTCTCTCTCTCTCTCTCTCTCTCTCTCTCTCTCTCTCTCTCTCTCTCTCTCTCTCTCTCATTCTCTCCCGACATATATTACATCTGTAGTTTCCTCCTTCACTTTTTCCTTTAGTTCTCTCCCTCTCATTTTCTCCCTTATTCCTATAATCCCCATCTAATCCTCCCAGTTCTCCCCCTTCCGTAGTCTATCCCTCACACTTCATATTCTCATCCTCCGTGTGTATTCCTTTCACTCTATCTCCCCTTCCTCTCCTGTCCACTCTCCCCCTCGTCTTCCCGGCCCCTCCCTGCGTATTATGCGCGCCTCAGGCTGCACCCGAAGCCACTCACCAGAAACCTGACGGAGGGGGAGGAGAGGAACCAGCAGAAATCACAATGAAAAAATAGTAGAGGAAAAGCTTGTTCGAAATTCCTGAGTTTGAGTAACCAGCTCAAGGGGCCGGGAGGCAAAGAGGGGCAACTTCTGGAGGCATAGATCGAGGGGAGAGAGAAACATCCTCTAGAGGCATAGACTGAGGGGGAGAGAGAAATAACTTCCGGAGGCATAGACTCAGGGAAGGGAGTGACAACTTTCGGAGGACAAGATATACAATAACTATCATAGGAACCACCAATTCGTAGCGGGACGTTGTCATATTGGGTAGAGTTTTCAAAGTCGACCCTAAAAGCTGACTTTAAACCATGTCCTATGTACTAAACCTTGAAGCCAAACACTGACGTCGCATCTTTCGAGTCAACACACGAAATCCTCTCTGAAGGTTAACCTCGAAGATTATTCCTAAGGGCTAACTTCGAGGTACGCCAACTTTAGGACCAATTTCGAGAGGCAAAATACTTTTGAAGGACGAACTTGAGAGGCAATCTTGAGGAAGAGTCGCGCCTGAGATCTGAGTCCGTAATCTGACTGGCAATTTAGATGCGAATAGAGAGTTTATGGTGATGGGCGTCGCTACGGACGCTCTGATTGGCAGCAGGGTTAAGGGCCACTGCGGTAATGTGTTGGTTATGGTGCAATGGACGGGTGAGTGCCGCCAAGAGACGGGCGAGGGCCGCAAGAGACGGGCGAGGGCCGCAAGAGACGGGCGAGAAGGCCCCAAGAGACGGGCGAGAGGGCCCCAAGAGACGGGCGAGAGGGCCCCAAGAGACGGGCGAGAGGGCCCCAAGAGACGGGCGAGAGGGCCCCAAGAGACGGGCGAGAGGGCCCCAAGAGACGGACGAAGGCCCCAAGAGACGGGCGAAAGCCGCGAAGAGACGGACGAAGGCCCCCAAGAGACGGGCGAGAGGGCCCCAAGAGACGGGCGAGAGGGCCCCAAGAGACGGACGAAGGCCCCCAAGAGACGGACGAGGGCCCCCAAGAGACGGACGAGGGCCCCCAAGAGACGGACGAGGGCCCCCAAGAGACGGGCGAGAGGGCCCCAAGAGACGGGCGAGAGGGCCCCAAGAGACGGGCGAGAGGGCCCCAAGAGACGGGCGAGAGGGCCCCAAGAGACGGGCGAGAGGGCCCCAAGAGACGGGCGAGAGGGCCCCAAGAGACGGGCGAGAGGGCCCCAAGAGACGGGCGAGAGGGCCCCAAGAGACGGGCGAGAGGGCCCCAAGAGACGGGCGAGAGGGCCCCAAGAGACGGGCGAGAGGGCCCCAAGAGACGGGCGAGAGGGCCCCAAGAGACGGGCGAGAGGGCCCCAAGAGACGGGCGAGAGGGCCCCAAGAGACGGGCGAGAGGGCCCCAAGAGACGGGCGAGAGAGCCCCAAGAGACGGGCGAGAGAGCCCCAAGAGACGGGCGAGAGGGCCCCAAGAGACGGGCGAGAGGGCCCCAAGATACGGACGAGGGCCCCGAAGAGACGGACGAAGGCCCCCCAAGAGACGGACGAGGGCCCCGAAGAGACGGACGAAGGCCCCCCAAGAGACGGACGAGGGCCCCAAGAGACGGACGAAGACCCCCAAGAGACGGACGAGGGCCCCCAAGAGACGGACTAGGGCCCCCCAGAGACGGACGAGGGCCCCCCAGAGACGGACGAGGGCCCCCCAGAGACGGACGAGGGCCCCCCAGAGACGGACGAAGACCCCCAAGAGACGGACGAAGACCCCCAAGAGACGGACGAGGGCCCCAGGAGACGGACGAGGGCCCCCAAGAGACGGACGAGGGCCCCCAAGAGACGGACGAAGGCCCCCAAGAGACGGGAGCTTTTGAAGGATGGCTCAACTACGACCCCAATAACTTGACGACTATGACAAAACTGTTGATAACCTTTGTGGCGAACGAGACTTGGACGGCAACAAGAGTAGTCAATGGTTGATGACCAACGACTCACTCGTTAATGAATCACACAATGATGGAAAATGAATCCAAAACCATAAACCAACACAAAACACTGACGGAGGACGAAGAATGCAAGAAAAATATATCAGAAAAAGATAAAATCAGAAAAAGATAAAACCAGAAAAGGGATGATGAAAATTCGAAGTAATTATAGATAAAACACATTATAGTACATGCGCGAGTTTATGTTATCTATTATTAACACCTGCAGGATGGAACCTAAGCTCTTGGGCTCCCGCTTTGCTAACCGGCGGTTGTCTAATGATATATGGGGGGTAGAAATAGCCTAAGCTACTCTATCCCTTTGAGATGTATTTTTTCTTGTCTCAATAAACATACTTGAACTTGAACTTGTCTAATGATATGACTCCTGGGTTACATCCCTGTCATATCTACTTTTACAATTTTGAATGTAGTTTTCTTTTACAAACTACTTCTTCGGCTCCTTCCATTACTCCTCTACTCTTCCACTAAATAAATAAAACTTTCTTGCATGTCTATGACTCGTATGAGACTTTGAGGTCCTCATTTTCTACTGGAATTTATTATGATCATTTCATCTTTTGCCACTATAAATACCTTAAGTATTTTATAAGTCTCTATCATTTCTTCCGTGTTTCTTCTCTTTTTTTAGCGTCATCAGGTTTAGTTCCTTCCGTCTCTCGTCGTATCCCATCCCTCGCAATTCTGGGATGAGACTCGTTGTGAACTTTTGAACCTTTTCCAGTTTCTTTAAGTTTTTTTTATAGGGGTTCCACGATGTGGCGGCATTCTCTTAAACTGGTCTCACGTAGGTGGTGTGCAGCGATCTAAATGGTTCCTCAAGGTATCTGATAGATGTTCTGACTTTGCTAGTGTCCTCAAGGTATCTGATAGATGTTCTGATTTTGCTAGTGTCGAGTATGCTCAAGATGTTTTCCTATTTACATAAGCGTCTCGAGTTAGGTTGGTGTTATGTCTTATGGCTAAAAAGACCTTGGTGTCGCTCCAAGGTCTTGTTCTCGTGGTTATAGGGAGGTAGTTTCCCTTCACCATGTACTACCCTTTTCGGCTCTAGTTACCTGTGCCCATTCCCATCACCTTACACTTGCTCGAGTTGAACTCGAACAGCCTTTTCTGGGACCAACTCTGCAGTTTGGCCAAGTCATCTTGGAACCTCTTATTATCGTCCTCTGTCGTCTCATTAGTTTTGTATTGTCTGCAAACAATAAACAAGACTCAACTGTTAATAGGTCATTTACATAAATGATATAGGAGAGTGCCAGTACTGATCCTGGAGGTCCTGTGTCACCCTATGCCAGTCCCCACGTCTCGCCCCACACTCACACCTGTTAGGTAATTATTTACCCACGTTAATGCTTTTCAGCTTATCCCTGTCTTCGTCTTGAGTTTGTGTAGTAATTATTTGTGAAAAAGTGTAACAAAGACTTTTTGGACAGTTGAGAAATATGGAATCTGCCCAATTTTCTGTCCTGCTTTATTTTCGTAACTTTATCATGGAACTCCAGTAAGGTTCGCCAGGCACTTTTTTCACTTCGCTAAAACCATGCTAATGTTTGTTTACATTTCTAATTTTCATTAGGCGTGTAACTAGTCTTATCCTGATTAGTTATTCAATCACTTTGCAGAGGATGCTCGTCAGTGAAGCAGGTATGTGGTTAAGTAGCTCTTCCTCTATCTCCTTTCGTGTAAATTGGCAACATATTGTCCAATCTTCTCCGAGCAGTTGGGCAATTCTACCTTTGTTAATTGACTCATTAAAGGTCAATGCTAGAGGTACGTTCAGGGCCTGTGCCGTTTCTTTTAACATCCAGGGTGATAACTTGTCTGCTCTAAAATCATTAGTTTCGACTAGTGATGCTAGTTGTCGCCGGACTTCCTCTGCTGTTTCCTCAATATCTAACAATATGGGCGACCTCCTCTTCTAGCACTGGGAGCTGCTCAGGCTCAGTTGTCAACACTCCATGGAAGCTGGCACCGAGTTACTCACAAATTTCTTGATCATTTCCTGCATGTTCACCTTCCCGCCCTTATCGTAATCTCCTCACCTGGTCGTGTATTGTCATGTGACTTCTTGTATTTCAATGCAAGAGTTTTGGCTGTTTCCTTGCTTAAGAATCAATATCATTTTCATAGGTTTTTTCCGACATTATTCTTATATTTATGTATTCATTCTTAGCTCTGTTAAACCCATTCCGGATATCTTGTGACCTTTGACCTATGATTTTCTTCCACTCCCTCTTGCTTTTCATTTTTCCTTCTTGGCATTGTCCATGAAAACGCGTTATTATATTCTCTCCTACTTTTTCCATTATTATTGGTATGAACGAGAAAATCTATTGAAGCACATAGAGGTGACTCGAACCAGGGACTAGAGTACTCCCAGCCGCGTACGTTATCGTAAAATCCACGAATCCTGTGGATTGTGTAGAATACCAGGTTATATAACTTTACCATGTGGTGGTACAGGGGTAAGGTGCGTGCTTGGGGTACCCTGATCGCTGGCTCCAGTTACCTCATTGCTCTAGTGGATTTTCGCATTGAGATACATATATACATAATTATATATATATATATATATAGAGAGAGAGAGAGAGAGAGAGAGAGAGAGAGAGAGAGAGAGAGAGAGAGAGAGAGAGAGAGAGAGAGAGAGAGAGAGAGAGAGAGAGAGAGAGAGAGAGATGAAGTTAGTATGAAGAGATATGGAGAGAGATTGAAAGAGAGTGGGAGAGTCATGTAATTTAGCATGTAACATGTACAAAACGCATTTATGTATTTCAAATTACATAAATGTTTTTTAATTATAAGGCACATATCGGACACATTTTTTATTACACAGACAAGTTTTGTGCGTTGTAGATCTTCGTTAAAGGAATGAAAGAACGTAACAAATTACATATAATGAAAATATTCGTTCTTAACCTTGCAAACTCCCCCCCCCCCCCCCCCTTTCTCTCTCTCCCCTCCTAAACCTCCCACACACACACACACACACACACACACACACACACACACACACACACACACACACACACACACACACACACACACACACACACGAAATGCATTAGGCAGTGATGTGGTGGAGGCAGACTCCATACACAGTTTCAATTGTAGAAATGATAGATCCCAGTAGGCTCAGGAACCTGAACATCATATCATTGACAGTTGAGAGGCGGGACCAAAGAGCCAGAGCTCAACCCCCGCAAACACAACTAGATGAATACACACACACTGAGAGAAAGATGAATTTTACCTGTCTACAGCTACCGTCATATTAAACAGAGATAAGTGTGAAATAACAATGAATTGACGGTTGGCGGTATGACACCCGAGTACATATAAGAGTGAACTCTTATATGAACTCTTTACATTATCTTATATAAATAAGAGAACTCTTATTCATCCACCTATGAACCCAGCGGTGGATGTGAACACATAAGAATAGCTATGTACCGAGTGCCCACTTAGGCGATGTGGAACCTCTCTATTAGGATTTGAGACGTTGCCAGTCACTTTACTACAAGTGTGAAGGCACTATAGAGGTTCCAGCAACCCAGCGCTGGAACCTCTGGTGATTTTTTTTAACCACCAACCCACGAATACCAGGGGCCAGATTCACGAAGCAGTTACGCAAGTACTTACGAACGTGTACATCTTTCCTCAATCTTTGACGGCTTTGATTACATTTATTAAACAGTTTAAAAAGCATGAACCTTGTGAATAAACGGCGTTCAGTTTGAGTCAATACCCGACGTTTCGCACACAGACGGACAGACTATATATGTGAATATAATACCCATGCTTCCCCCCATCCCCACACCCCTATTATTTAGAAGAGGGGCATAGGAACAGAAGCTTTGAGCTCAGTGTACGAGGAAAGCGTTCCCTTAAATTTGCTAACATCGTTGCCAAAAACTTTGGGTTCTTTAATCCGAGAACTGAAAAAAATGATATCGATCAGGATATTTGCATATCTCGCCCCTCACCGATATCTTAAGCCTCCATTCAACCTTTTATGTAGCGACCACCACAGACTCGTCAACCTTTTATGTAGAGACCACCACAGACTCGTCAACCTTTTATGTAGAGACCACCACAGACTCGTCAACCTTTTATGTAGAGACCACCACAGACTCGTCAACCTTTTATGTAGCGACCACCACAGACTCGTCAACCTTTTATGTAGAGACCACCACAGACTCGTCAACCTTTTATGTAGCGACCACCACAGACTCGTCAACCTTTTATGTAGAGACCACCACAGACTCGTCAACCTTTTATGTAGTGACCACCACAGACTCGTCAACCTTTTATGTAGAGACCAACACAGACTCGTCAACCTTTTATGTAGCGACCACCACAGACTCGTCAACCTTTTATGTAGCGACCACCACAGACTCGTCAACCTTTTATGTAGAGACCAACACAGACTCGTCAACCTTTTATGTAGAGACCACCACAGACTCGTCAACCTTTTATATAGAGACCACCACAGACTCGTCAAGCTTATACCCAGGCATTCAGCTTTGTTCAAAATGAATAAGAATTATCGCTCAAAACAATGATAAGGATTTTGTTCAAGACAAAGATAAATAAAGGCATTACTTTATTACAAATCTTAGCCTTGATTCTAGTATTAAAAAGAAAAGGTCCCCCCTGCTTAGGTCTCTATAAATGGCTCATATGATAAGGAAACTCTCCACTCTGGACCGACGAGCCAAGCACACTATTAGGCCTATAACCTTCCTCATTCACAACTTGTGGAGGAGACTATATAGCTCTTGTGTTTTGTGACTTAAGAACAAAAAGAAAATCCTTATCTGTTGCCACGGAAATGAAGATATCAGACTCTTATCGCGCTGAAAATGTGTCGTTTGTTTTGTTTTACTGTGGCGAGATGTTGCTCGTTTGCGAGTGACGTCTTGCTTTTGAAGGGGCATACGAGTGACCTCTCGCTTTTGAAGGGGCATACGAGTGACCTCTCGCTTTTGAAGGGGCATACGAGTGACCTCTCGCTTTTGAAGGGGCATACGAGTGACCTCTCGCTTTTGAAGGGGCATACGAGTGACCTCTCGCTTTTGAAGGGGCATACGAGTGACCTCTCGCTTTTGAAGGGGCATACGAGTGACCTCTCACTTTGAAGGGGCATACGAGTGACCTCTCACTTTTGAAGGGGCATACGAGTGACCTCTCGCTTTTGAAGGGAACTCTCGCATACGAGTGACCTCTCGCTTTTGAAGGGCCATACGAGTGACCTCTCGCTTTTGAAGGGGCATACGAGTGACCTCTCGCTTTTGAAGGGGCATACGAGTGACCTCTCACTTTTGAAGGGCATACGAGTGACCTCTCGCTTTTTGAAGGGGCATACGAGTGACCTCTCACTTTGAAGGGGCATACGAGTGACCTCTCGCTTTTTGAAGGGGCATACGAGTGACCTCTCGCTTTTGAAGGGGCATACGAGTGACCTCTCGCTTTTGAAGGGGCATACGAGTGACCTCTCACTTTTGAAGGGGCATACGAGTGACCTCTCACTTTTGAAGGGGCATACGAGTGACCTCTCACTTTTGAAGGGGCATACGAGTGACCTCTCACTTTTGAAGGGGCATACGAGTGACCTCTCACTTTTGAAGGGGCATACGAGTGACCTCTCACTTTTGAAGGGGCATACGAGTGACCTCTCACTTTTGAAGGGGCATACGAGTGACCTCTCACTTTTGAAGGGGCATACGAGTGACCTCTCGCTTTTGAAGGGGCATACGAGTGACCTCTCGCTTTTGAAGGGGCATACGAGTGACCTCTCGCTTTTGAAGGGGCATACGAGTGACCTCTCGCTTTTGAAGGGGCATACGAGTGACCTCTCGCTTTTGAAGGGCATACGAGTGACATACGAGTGACCTCTCGCTTTTGAAGGGGCATACGAGTGACCTCTCACTTTTGAAGGGGCATACGAGTGACCTCTCGCTTTTGAAGGGGCATACGAGTGACCTCTCACTTTTGAAGGGGCATACGAGTGACCTCTCGCTTTTGAAGGGGCATACGAGTGACCTCTCGCTTTTGAAGGGGCATACGAGTGACCTCTCGCTTTTGAAGGGGCATACGAGTGACCTCTCGCTTTTGAAGGGGCATACGAGTGACCTCTCGCTTTTGAAGGGGCATACGAGTGACCTCTCACTTTTGAAGGGCATACGAGTGACTCCTCACTTTTGAAGGGGCATACGAGTGACCTCTCACTTTTGAAGGGGCATACGATGACCTCTCGCTTTTGAAGGGGCATACGAGTGACCTCTCGCTTTTGAAGGGGCATACGAGTGACCTCTCACTTTTGAAGGGGCATACGAGTGACCTCTCACTTTTGAAGGGGCATACGAGTGACCTCTCACTTTTGAAGGGCATACGAGTGACCTCTCACTTTTGAAGGGGCATACGAGTGACCTCTCACTT